AGCACTTTGCATTTCTCCTTGTTGAATTGCATTCTGTTGTTTTCTGCCCACCTGTCCAGGTCTGCTTGTAGTTGTTCCCTGCCCTCCGGCGTGTCCACTTCTCCCCATAGCTTTGTGTCATCCGCAAACTTGGACAGAGTACACTTCACTCCCTCGTCCAAGCCGCTGATGAAGACATTGAAGAGTATCGGTCCAAGGACCGAACCCTGCGGGACCCCACTGCCCACACCCTTCCAGGTCGATACTGACCCATCCACCACGACTCTCTGGGTGCGACCCTCTAGCCAATTCGCCACCCACCAGACTGTGCAGTCACCCAAGTCACAGCCTCTTAACTTGTTCACCAGTATGGGGTGGGATACCATATCGAAGGCCTTCCTGAAGTCTAAGTATACGACATCCACCCCTCCTCCTGTGTCCAGGCGTTTCGTAACCTGGTCATAAAAAGAGACTAGATTAGTCAGGCATGATCTACCTGCCACGAACCCGTGCTGGTTTCCCCTCAGCATAATTTGTCCTGCCGGGATCTCGCAAATGTGAGCCTTGATCATTTTTTCAAAGACTTTGCCAAGGATGGAGGTGAGACTGACTGGCCTGTAGTTGCCCGGGTCTTCCTTCGATAGTACCTGTATTTACAAGTATTGTCCTGCTATGGAGTAAATTAGTTTACTCCAGCCTAATAGGGGTGCATGTGTAGATGCGCAACGTTTACTGCACAGCTAATCAGCGTACGGCACAGTAAGTGTCTCATGTAGACGTGCCCAGCAGTAGCGTGCGTATGCTGTATGGACCCTCCCTATTTTACAGGTAGGGAAACAGATGCATGGAAAAGTGAAGTGAGTTTTTTAACAGCCGAGCTGAAGATACGACCCAGGAGCCCTGACTCGGTGGTTTTGGATTCCCAGATTTCCTCACACGAGAGGAAGGCATCGTTATGTTTGTTTTGGGGTCGTTTTTTTTCCAGCTGAAGCTGTAGACTTTGGCCATGAGGCAAAGACAACCCAATTTTCTTACTTCCCACTCTTGCTTATCTCTTTCAGAGTCATGATGTTTGAAGGAAAAGCCAATGAAAACAATCCAAAGCCTTCTGGCCCACCTCCAGAGAGGGATATTGCCAGCCTTCCCTGACAGCGATCAGCTGGAAAAGCAGAACGTGTCAGCACCACGCTGCTTGGTTGGGCTGTCACGAAGGTTACCTGTCTGTTACTCTTACTTTGGACAGTCTTAGGTGTAAACTAATCTGCCTTAGAGGAACAACAAGGGAAGCCCAGGGACCCCCTCCAGTCTGCACATAGCCACCTCTCCGCTGCATCCTCAGCCAGTCTCTTCTGCTAGAGAAGCTGTAGTAAAGGCATAACGTGAAACCAAAAAAACCCCCAACCTCACTTATCAGTTGAGAAATTGCTGATCGCTTCCCAGGGTAATTGGCCTGGATTTCTCAGCTGGAAGGAGGGGCTACCCTCTTTCTATCAGGTGGGTCCTTCACTGGGGTGAATTGAATGCTGAATCTCTGCCCGCTCCTCACATGGCTTTGCTGCCAGAGATTGCTAGGGCACCCCAGCAGCAGCTGCCGCATGGACACCGGGAGCTAAGTGCCTTCTGAAGTTCACCCTGCAGCTCCCATCTTCAGATGGGTTCCTGTCCCCTTCCCCTAAACCAGCAGTTTGCCAGCCAAAATGCCTCTCACACCTCCCACATCCTGTACCAAGTCTCCAAGAGGAAAACTGGGAAGAGGGAGGTCTGCATGAGATGTGCAGGGGGACAACTTCTGGAGGCTAGCTGCTGGGAGAAGGGCTGGTAGGTGAGGATTATCACAGCTTGGAGGGCTGGGAAGGAAGCGGTGCAACTCCCCTGCATATTGAGCGATAGCTCTTTAGTGTCTGCTCCTGGGACTGGTCCCAGATGGTCCCAGCCAAGGGCACACTGAATCAGCAGTGCTCCTCTCTGTCCCTATTCAGTCATGCTTGCTCTTCCCTAACCAACACAGACCCCAATTTTGACATCCAGCCTCCCTGCCTCTCTTGGCATCCGCTCTTAGGGAGTCTCCTGTTGATAAATGATCCCAAACCTTGGTGCTGACTGCCGTGGTCAGGCTATGAAGGCTACGGCAGGGCTTGATGAGAAATGAGGGGGTCTGACTGGATACTTTTGTCTTTCTGTCTGTATAGAAGTAGCTATGGTAAGACTAGGGAGGAGAAACCGGAGAACCCTGCAAGCTTCTAAGGCACAGGCCTCTTGTGGGTGTTATAGCAATTGATTGCAAATTAGGAAATGCATGGTGGCGGGTATTGGGGAGCTTGTAATCTTAATGTGTTGTGAAGGATTGCTTATTGGAAGTGAAGCACTGGCTTTAATCAATGCCACCCATCAAGCTAGCTGTCCCCGTGAAACAGAGAAACTCTCCAAACCACGTGTTCCAGGATGCATTGGCTCTGGGATTGAGCTGGGTTAGATCCTTGGATGTTTAGGAGCCTAGAGAGGCCTTTCCTGCTGGCTGAATCAAGGTGCAAACCCATAAGTTTCTAGATCTGCTAAAACGTCTGGCTGAAATTGGAGCATAATAGAAGCTTAAAACCTGCAGGACAGGGGAAATCCTCCCCACATTAAGGCAAGCTAAAGTCTCAGTGACTTCCACCTATATTAAGCCTGCTGAATGTGTAGGATTAAGCTTGGAGTGTGCTCTGCAAGCTGCTGGCAGGAATACACCACTGCTGTTTCTTCATACAGAAACTACAAAAGGAGCTACTTGACATGTCAAGGCATTTCTGGGTGGCTATAAGCTGAAGCTCATGCCAGAAGTGAGACAATGGACAAGAGTTGCCCCCAGATAGCAGTTTTGCTGGCTGCTGACTGAAGGATGCAGACACGAATGTTAAATCTGTGAAGAAGCCGCAGAGCCAAACAAGTTTCTTGGTGGGCCCCTCTTTGCCCGGGGTGGATGTACTCGTGTGAGCCTGATGTCTCTGGAGACGATTCTACTAAGTCAACTGTTGGTTGTAAAAGGAGTTGCTGCTTCTGTCTACTGAGTTTTTAAAGGCAGATTTCCTAATATATTGGGTTTTCTAGGAGGCTCCTTGTAACGTGAATAAGCAGCTGGCCTCTGAAGTTTGGTCGTTTCCCTCGCTGCCAGTGGCCAGTTAGTTCAGTTCCATAACATCAAATCTAAATTGGCTGTTCTCTCTCACCTGAAATCTCAAGGCATGGTGGGAAAACCAGCCCAGCTAGTCTTGCTTTGGACGTTCACAGAAAATGCTGGGGATGTCCTACAGCTGCACGAGAAAGTGAGATCAGAGGAGTCCAGTCTGAGCCCCTCAAATCCATCCAGCCTTGCTGTGGGGGAGTTTACTTTCTTTATACAGGTGGCCTCTGAACTTCTGGGATCCTACAAACAAATGCTTTTGTTTAAATGTATTACAATGGGACCGTTCTCATGAGTGAAATTCAGCACATTGAAAAGGTTGTCTTTGCAGAGCTGGGACCTTTCGAGGGCAGGGAAGGACTCATCTGATGCCAGTGTAGCTGGGACCATGCTCTGATCATTCGGGACACTGATGCGATCATTGCTTTCTACGTAAACTCTTGGAATCTGGTTGTTTGCTGCTGGGGTTTCACTGCTTACTCTGTTTCTTCTTTTATGTTCTTGGCAGCTTTTAACTTTTGTGGTTTTTAAATCCTTGTATAAATAAAAAGTCCAAATAATTGTAACTTGACTAGACATCTTGCTCCTTCCAAGGGCTGTATTTTTTTTTTTTATGTCTTGCTATCATCTTTGTATGAAAACTTTGGAATTGTGACAGGGGGAGAGACTGCAGGTGGGGGTGGCACAGCTCTGCTTGTCCAGGTGGAAAAATAAACCTTCTGAAACAACTTGAAGCTTCGGCATGTCCTGTTCTTGTTTGAACCAGGGTAAAACCGAGTTCTAACCCCCACCCGTGTACTGACAGGAGGGTTTTGCCTACCTTCTGCCAACTCATTTTGGACCCATGCTTTTGTCCTGGGTTACAAACAGGAGGTGGAAATCCTAAATCAAAGCACATCTGTCTGAAACGCTTCTGTTACCACTGCTTGTTTTCCACTGCAGGAGCAAGAAGACTTCTCTTCAGGTATGACCCCTGCCTCTACCCTACCCCTAAAGAATAAGGGCAAAAGAAAAGTCCTTCCAGCCTAATGCAAATCACCAAAGCAGGGCCCAGGAGATGTGGGGCAGGTTTCTCAGCTGGCATTGCAGAGGGCTGCACAGCTGCCCTTGTGCCCCAGCATGGGCAGGAGAAACAAGTAAAGGACGTCTGCTACAGCCTTTCTAAAGCGCGTGTGTACTCCCCTGGGGCCAGCACTCACTTCAAGTCTTGGAGAATTAGAACCAGGAGGGCAACTGATTTACCAGTGGGAGATTTTTGTCCCCCTTGCTTCAGGTAGTTTATTGAATGTAATCTGCACATCCTGGCACTATTGTAACAAGGACTCTTATCCCTGAGCTAGAGTGAAACTAGCTTAGCTGGTACTAGCAGGTCTTTTGTACTGTCTGGACTACCTGCTATGGACTGAAATGACTGCACACTTATGCTGTGTTACAGCTGCCTCCAAATCCTCTAGTGCAAGCAGGTGGACCGAGTGAAGAGAATTTCCCCCACTGTAAAGCCTCCTTTGGATAAAGCAATTGGCTGCAAATCACACTGGGCTCTGCTTTGAGCAATTAGTTTTCTGCATCCTGAGCCCAAAGTGGTCAGAGACTTAACTCTGTGGCCGTTTACGCTGCAAGCCTAAGCGTAAGAGGCCGTCACGCCACTAAGGTCAGCGCTAATGCAATTGTATTTGCTTACAGCAGGGGTGACGACGGCCTCAGGTGTGGAAAAAGGCAAGTCGGATCTAACAGCTGGTGTCCTGGGGCAAGGCTGGCTAATGAGATTGCACAGGCAGCGCTGCTGCGTTTGCCCTTCACATGCTCTTGCGTGTGCTTCCCTGCTCCATTTAAACGCTACAGCACATCGCAGCAGAGCATTGGCTGACTTTAAAGGGCTACAATAAAGCCACAGCAGGTTACACATGATGCCTGATGCCAATGATGGGAATGCCTTGGGCCAGGGGAGCATAAATTGGACTGAAATAATTCAGCTAAAAACAGCATGTCGATAGTGGCTGACAGAGCTAGATCACCGGCCTTCTCAGTAGTAGCAGTGGGGACAGGTACACAGCCCTGCCAAGCCCCTATTGCACCATTAAAAGGGTAGTGTCCTCCCTTCTCTTTGTGCTGGGAGCTGGAAGGGGGTGGCTGGGGCACTGTCCCCTGAATGGGCACAGCCAGGTCCTGGAGAGCTGCTGGGTGCATAACAGGACTCCAGGAGCTGGCACCTTAAGATTGTCCCCAGCTCAATCATTCTGAAACTTTGACCATTGCTCCTGTCCCTGTTTTGGCTTTGAGTTGTACCGAACAATCAGTGCCACGCTCCTAGTGGCTCCCATCACCAAGCGGGGCTCATAGCTCTACGTGTTGAGCTTTGGCCCATGTTCCCAAATGGTACATCAAAAGGCCTGTGTCACACACAGGGCCCCCAGGGACTGCGGGGTCGTTTCCCTGTCCCTGCTCCATTCACGTGTCACCGGGCAGTGTCCACCGGCTCCTTGAACACGTTCGAGAGCCAGCGGGCAATATCCACTGTGCTGTGCTTGGCGTCCAGTCTTGGCACGCTCTTTTCGGACCTTTGACCATTGTTCTCATCCCTGTTTTGCCTTTCTTTTGTCCCAAGAAATTAGTTGTTACTTTCTCAGCAGCCTCCTGTCCTAAGGAAGTCTTCTCGTTCTTGGTGGGGGAGAGCCCACGATCCCTTGGAAGTAACAAATAAGCCTGTTTCACGCGGTGGCAAAGAACAAATGCTGAAAGGAAGCGGGAACTGAGTCTGGCCAGGAGTTTTTCCCTATTGTCCCTCTCTCTCTTGCAGCCTCCAGCATTTCAGGGCTTAGGAAGCTCCTTCAGAGGTCGCAGCCCACACTCCCAGGCTCAACAGCGACTCTCCAAGAACGGGTCCAGGCCCTTGGCTGAATCTGGCTGGACAGTCAGCTCCTTGCGCTAGTGACCCTCTGGGTGCAAAACAATGTCCTGACGTTCATTTTACACTGACCACCTGCTTGTTTCATGCTCTGGGCTGGTGAGAGAGACTCAGCGCTCAATGCTGGCGGACTTCCTCTCCGCCATCTGGGGTGGTGTGCATCCCTCTTGCCCCCCCCCGCCCCAAACAAGTGTTTCTCTTCCCAACCGATGAGGCCGGGCTTTCGCCTCTTTGTCTGGGAGCCCCTAATCCCCCTGGTTGCCCTTGTGGGGCCATCTCTAGTTCCTCTCTGTCCTACAGGGGCAACCGGGCACGGCAGCCCAGGGCTGGGGGCACCAGGGGCTTGTCAACGGGGCTCATAAGCAGGGATCCTGGTTTTCTCGGATTTAAAAAAATCCCCAATTTTCAGTTTAAAAAGAAAGAACCCCAAATCCACATTTTTCTGTGATTAAACCGAAACACCGTGTGTGTGTGTGTGTGTGTGTGTGTGTGTCTATATCGATCTATAGATAAATCTATCTATCTAGATCTATATAGATAGGTATATAGATTTGTAGCTACAGATAGAGAGATAAATCAATCCGTATCTATAGATAGATTAATAGATAGATATAGTGCTGTTTCATTTTAATCATGGGAAAATGTGCATTTGGGGTTACATTTTTCTAAACCGAAAATTGCTGGGGTGGGGGTTGTTTTTTTTTTAATCCGAGAAAACCAGCACCCCCACTCAGAAAATTTATGGGGCAGGCCCCGCCCCCTACCCTGAAGCCCCGCCCCT